GAGGGGCGGGCGGCGGCAGACCAACCGGGCCGTCGAAGGGCTCAGGAGGCCGGTGGGCCGGGCCGAGGCGGGCCGCGCGGCGCAGCCATGCCAGGCTTTACGTGCTGCGTGCCGGGCTGCTACAATAACTCGCACCGGGACAAGGCGCTGCACTTCTACACGTTTCCCAAGGACGCTGAACTGCGGCGCCTGTGGCTCAAGAACGTGTCCCGTGCTGGCGTCAGTGGGTGCTTCTCCACCTTCCAGCCCACCACGGGCCATCGTCTCTGCAGCGTCCACTTCCAGGGCGGCCGCAAGACCTACACGGTGCGCGTCCCCACCATCTTCCCGCTGCGCGGCGTCAACGAGCGCAAAGTAGCACGCAGACCCGCGGGGGCCGCAGCCGCCCGCCGCAGGCAGCAGCAGCAGCAGCAGCAGCAACAACAACAACAACAGCAGCAGCAGCAGCAGCAGCAGCAGCAACAACAACAGCAACAACCGCAACAGCAGCAGCAGCAGCAGCAGCAGCCGTCAGCCTCCACTGCCCAGGCCTCCCAGCTGCAGCCGAACCTGGTGTCTGCCTCTGCTGCTGTGCTCCTCACCCTTCAGGCCGCTGTAGACAGCAGCCAGGCCCCGGGGTCCGTGCCCCCAGCGCCCACCACTCCCACCGGCGAAGACGTGAAACCCATCGACCTAACCGTGCAAGTGGAGTTTGCCGCTGCAGAGGGCGCAGCCGCCGCAGCCGCCGCGTCGGAGCTAGAGGCTGCTACGGCAGGGCTGGAGGCCGCAGAGTGCCCTATGGGTCCCCAGTTGGTGGTGGTGGGGGAAGAGGGCTTCCCTGATACTGGCTCCGACCACTCATACTCCTTATCGTCAGGCACCACGGAGGAGGAGCTCCTGCGCAAGCTTAACGAGCAGCGGGACATCCTGGCGCTGATGGAGGTGAAGATGAAGGAGATGAAAGGCAGCATCCGCCACCTGCGTCTCACCGAGGCCAAGCTACGAGAAGAACTCCGCGAGAAGGATCGGCTGCTGGCCATGGCTGTCATCCGAAAGAAGCATGGAATGTGAATGGGTCCCCCTCGGCTTGCTGGACTCCTGGACCCCTCTCAGCCTACAGGGACCTTAGGCCGCTGCTGTTGAACTCCCCTATACTCCTGGGGCACTGGTTGACAGTACTGAAGCTTAGGGCAGCTGGACTCTCTTGCTGGTGACCTGGCACCCTGTCTTGTTTTCTCCTGAAGCAAGGTCCTGAAGTCTGGGACCTCAGACTCTGTACAGGTGACACCAGCAATTATGACTTTGTCCCCCACCTCACCCCCAGTTTATGTTGCAGGTTCTGGTTAAGCAGAGGCTTCAGAACCACTGAACTTGAAGATTACCCACTCAGGATGCAGGTCGGATGCCCAAGACTATGGGTTTGGGAAGACAACACCTTGAGGTTGGCCAGCATTGAGACAACTCTTCCGTGTGTAGTGATAAGAGATCCAAGTAACATCAGTTCTCCTTTTCGTGCTTTTCCTTCCCAGGTGCAGCCTGTGATTCTGATGGGGACTGGCAGATCTGTGCCTCTGCCTATAAGGACCTCCCTCCCCAGGAGGCCATCTACAAGGGGATCTAGGTGACCTGCTGATGAAGCTCCAGCTTGCCAGGGACTTAGGTTTATCCTGTTATGTTTGCTACTGGTTACAAATTCTATTTTCTGTACAATTAGTCAGACTAAAGTTTTCACTGTGTTTGTTTGGCAAAACGAATTAAACAGAAAGTAAGGTTTTAATTTGGGTTTCACCATTTTATTTTTATAAAGATTCAGTATCCCTGAAAGGTGGGGAAATAGACCTCCCAACAGGCCTCTACTTTAGGTCTCAAGGACGAGGCTGATCCTGATAGTAGAAATGCTTCAATGACCATGGTTGTCCAACAAGGGGCCCTGAGCACATGGACCCTGGCCTCATAAGGTTCTCAGAGAGTTCTTGGCCCAGCTCGCTCCAAAGAGTTTAGAAACTGCACCAAATGGTCCCAGTTTGCTGTGGGTTAGGAGAAAGAGCAACTGACAACTAAACCAAATTGTGACTGCTCACTTCTCTTGAGGGTTTTGAATTCCTCATGAATTTTCAGCTGTGGTTGAATTTCACTTACCATTTTAGCCCTAGTACAGTGGCACACATGGGCGTGCAGTTACTTAGTGAAGATCACAGCTGGAACCAGCCATGCTTCCTGCACACATAAGAACTCTTCTATAGATACTTTGGCCTTGGGATGTTACCATCGTGGAGGAGTTGGGATTTGTGACACCTTGACTCATTTCTTGGCTGTTTCTATTCTTCTTTAGATAAGGTAGGGGTGAGGTGACATTTTTATCTATAGGTCCAAATAACTTAGTTCAAAGCCAGTGGGCCGAGGCAAGCCTTTAAAGCTAGCCCTATTTACTACAGGTGTTAGGGCACAAATGGATACTTCCTGGGCTCCATAAAACATGACTTCCTTCTCTTACTTTAGAAAAGGCCACTTCCTTGGGGGCTTTCCCTGTATCTGTGAACTGAAATGACAAATGTTTCTCTAGTCTCTGCTTTCCTCATGGCCCTTGGCACTGACTTGAGAAACAAGTCTCTGGTTTAAGAGGGGTGGAGTATAGGTTGTACAGGTGCCTGGTTGGGGAAAGGATTGGATCTCTGCCTTCCTAGCATTAGTTCTGGCTAATCGTAAATAAGGCGGTGGATGCACAGCATTGTCCTTCCAGGCCAGCTGGGACTGAAGCCCTTTGTGGGCAGCTATTAAGCCACTCTCTCACATGTCCCCACTCTCCACTAGGAGTGAGGGCTTTTCCAGGCTCAGTCTATGCTGTTTAGTGTATCCTAGCTCCTGTTTGTTGAAGACACACTGTTTCTGCTTTGGCTCACTTGGACCTCTCAGCAGCCCTCCCAGGACAGGTGAGGGGCAGGCTCTGGCCAAGACTCTGGTGTCTGGGGGTTATGTGCATACAATCTATCTCGAGTTTTAGCTTCTTGGGGGTGGGGGAATGACAGAACAAGGGAGGTCCCAGATGCACCACAAACAGGACAATGCAGAGTTCTCACTGGCTAGGTAATAAGCATCTAGTCAGGCAAGGTAGTGCAGACCTGATCTTAACAGCCATCCCCAGCAAGTGAGTGTGTGTGTGTGTGTGTGTGTATTGGTAAAGGTGCAAAACTTATGGAAGAACAGGAATACTGAGATCTCTGGCTAGGAGGGAAAGCATGGAGCTGCCAGGATGATGTTTCCCTTACCTGTGGTCCACCTGGGTTAGCTGCAGAGCATTTCCCCAACAGGCCTGACTTAGACATAGGCTTTATTTCAAATGTTTGCATTGCCCAGGAAACGATGAGAATGGGTGATGAAAGGGCAAGGGGTGGGACAGATTATTGACAATCTGGTCGCTTAAATCACAGGGAAAGTTTGGGTGAACCAGTTCGCTTTTCTCGTTAATAAAAATGAAACTCTTAGCTGCCCTGCCTGCTGCAAAAATAAAAACAAACGAAAAACTTATGAGAATGTTTTGGAGACCCCCAACTGTACAAGTGTAAGGGTAATCATGTCTCCAGCTGAGCCCCACTTGAGCATTTGAGTCTCCAGCCCAAAGGAAAGCCTCGACTGCTCGAAACCAGCTTTGGGTCGGGCAGGGCACATGAATATTGGGACAGCACACACCATGGGTTCCGCCCTGGCTGGCTTTAGAGCACCGCTCAGAAGAGTCGAAGGGCGGGGGTGGGGGTGGGGGTGGCTAGAGCACCAAAGGGGAGGAGAGTTCGGGAGCGGAAACAGCCCAGGGGCCCCGGGAGGGGCGTCTGGGCCTGCTTGGGGCCAGGCCGAACTCCCACGGAGGCGGGGCCTGCTCCAAACCACCGCGCAACCGGGGCGGGGCCGGACCAGCTGGGACCTGGCGACAACTGAGCCTTGACCCTTTCCTGGCGCCAGCCTCGGGTGTTCCAGAGGCTTCCACTAGACCACAATTCTCAGGGGCTCGCCCTGGTAGCCTCCCTCCCCTGCTTAGCCTCACCTCCCGCGCTGCGGGCCGTGGCCGGCCTCGGCGCATAGCACACTGGGAACTGTAGTTTTCTCCTGGCACATCTATGCCAGAAAGGAGCTCCGGGGGACTGCGTTTCCCAGAGTGCAACGGGGTGGCGAGGGAAGGCAGGGGGGAAGGGACAGTCGGTCGCAGACCGCGCTGGGTTGCCGCCGCCGCCGCTGCCGCCATCGTGCCAGCCCCTCGGGTGAGTGTCGGGGCTAGCGCGCCGGGGCGGGGGCTGGGCCGCTGGAGCCGCACTCTGGGCCGCCTGGAGCCTCCGCTGCCAGTCTCCGGGCGCCCCCGCAACACCGGCGGCCCGAAGCCGCGCGGGGACGGGGCCATGTGTCGCGCGCGGCTCCGCCTCCCGCCGGTCCTCTGAGGCGGCGGCCGGGGGGAACACAGAGAGACAGCCAGGCGCCTATCCGGCTATCGTGTCCATGGCGGGTGTACCGGACTGCGCGGCGGCCGGGCCTTTTTTTCTCTGGTCCAGACCACCCGGATGGGGCTCTCCGGGCCCCGCCCCGTCTGGCCTAGCCCGGCCTGCCCGAGTCCCGCAAGCTCTGCAGGCAGGCTAGCGGGACGACCCCAGCCCCACGTCCTGCCACCCGCCAGCGAAGGATCCGGGGATGGGCAAGGCCACCCGGCTCGCTCCGGAGTCAGCATTGGGTAAGGGCGCTTTCCTGCCGCAGCCCGGGATTAGGACTCTCACCCGGTTCCCGACCATAGCCAGGCTAGGATGTAGGTGAACTCTCCCCTGCTTGTCTACCCGTTGGGAGTGCACAAAACCTAACTCCCACTCTGGAATTCATGCGTAGGTTCCTGCGTGGAGGGCAGGTCAGGGAATCTGGGGCGGGAGGGGGTTCCACATGGGACTTCACCCCCCGCCAGCCTTGGAGGATCTGGCCTGATGTGATGAGCGGCTCCGGACTGGTAGGCTCAGACCCCGCCCTTTTATCGGGGGACCAGGCCCCAGCGGTGGGTGGGTTGGGCGGCCGAGTTAGTGGAGGAGGGGAGGAAGGAAGCCAAGGAGGTGAGGTTGGATGTGTGAGCCCCCAACACGTTATTAGAACTCCGGCGCAGCCTAATCCTCACATCTGCCCTTCCCAGAGTCATCCGCCCTCCTCCCACAGAGGAGAATGATTCCAGGAGAATGGTGGTGATAAGGTGAGGTTTAGTGGAGGGGAAAGTAGAATCCAGGCCTGAGGACCATGAGCCCAGTGCCAAACGACAGACTGGATTTGAAGCCACATTGGTGGTGGGGCACATTTGGGCTGTGGGGCTCAGATTCAGACTCTTTGGGGCCCTTCTGAAGCCTGGGTGAGAGAACTAAAGCTGAAAGCTGCAGACAGTCAGACTTCTCTCACTTGCTTGCTCACTTCCAGAGTAACCTGTACAGGTTGGAGTAACCTGTGTACAGGCAAGATGCTGGTTGAGCCTTAGGAAACTGCCTTCAATGATGGCTCCAGCTACCCCTTTGAGTCCTGGGAGAGGAGGAGTATCTAGCCTTAGAGTAGTCTTCTGAGGGGCTTTGTAAAGGCATTTTCTCATTGATTGATGATGTATTAAGGGACCAGTCCAGAGAGAACCTTGGGATTTGGAGAAGAAACAGCTTGTTGATTCCTTTATTCCTCTGACCCAGTACAGCTTAGGAGCCATAGTTCTTGCAAGGATTAAAGCAGCAGCTAAGTCTCTGCAGGCCTGGCCTCACCAGCAAGCAAGTCTCCTAGGAAAGTTGAGTTAGGCCCATGATGCCGAAAGCCGCCACCCCTGGACTTTTTTTTTCCTTGAGTATTTCCCCAGGTGATGTTTTTCTGGTCATTGGAAGTTTTCCTTTTCCTGCTGTCTAGTCATTCTCTCTGATTGAGGAGGGCAGGCAAAGATCTGTCCAGATCTCCTAACCAGCACTTCCCTTCTCTCTGAACTCAAACCTCCTTGTCCACATCCTGGCCCGTAAGCACGTGGAAGTCAGGTTCATTCAGCAGGCTTAGAAGGGTCTGGTTTGCTGGTGGAGATAGGCAACAAGGAGGGACTGCCCACAGGACATACATAGGATCCCTGTGATGGAATCTCCTAGTGCTAGAAGCAGTTGTTTCAAGACCCTCTCTATATTGTCAGGATTGGTTCTGTCTAGGACACAGGTTTCAGTTGAGCTAGGCTTATATCTGTGGATTAGTTTGCACATTCCAAGGCTTTAGGTGACTTGATGATCATGGTTTCCTTCAAGGTCAAAAAGATACTGTTCCTTTTTGATACTGTTCCTTCACCACTGGCAGCGGTGTCAGGAGTAGGAGGAATTTTGGTCTCTCCCTCTCACTCCACCCCTAGAAGTTTTCTAGAACTTCTGTGTCTGGGCTTAGCTAGTCATTGATAGGCATCCTGACCCCCAGAAGTCCTTGACCTTTCTGGAACTTGGCAGGCCATCTGTATCTCAGAGATAAGAGGAGAATCCTGAGGTTCTTCAGAATCTGTCTGCACCTTCTATTCATGTAGGGCTGACTTGGAAGTGGAGTCTGGCATGGAACAGTCGAAATGTGGCTGCATAAGCATGGCAGGGTGTGGGGGTGCCTGGGTTCTCAAAAAGCTCAACACTAGGTCCTTTACTGACATGGAGTGTACTTCTCTCCAAGCTACATCTCACTTTATTCTGCTGTCTTAGCAGTTGGTGGGTTGGGGTGGCATGAATGGTTTAAGAATGACACAGAATTCTCAAATTTAAGAACTGGAAGGCACGG